TTTTCTTCTAATAGTTTCAGGGTTTCCAGTTTCACATTGAAGCCTTTGATCCATTTGGAGTTGACTTTTGTACAAGGTGAAAGATAAGGATCTAGTTTCATTCTTCTACAGGTGGAGATCCAGTTTTACCAGCACCATTTGTTGAAAATGCTGTCTTTCCTACATTGTGTGCTCTTGGTGCCTTTGTCAAATATCAGGTGGCTGAAATTGCATGTACTCAGGTTTGAATCATCAATGATGTTCCTTTGATCTATATGTCTGCTTTTGCACCAGTACCATGCTGTTTTTATGACTATGGCTCTCTAGTATACTATGAAAATGATTTTTTAAATTGCATATTTGAGTGTTTTGTACCTTCTGTGAATTGGAGTGGCTCTGCTTCACTATGGAGTGGCAGGAAGTGAGATCATTCGGACCCAAAGCTGCCCAGAGGGTTTGGCATGTGGTTATGATCCTAATAATTCTGATCAGTTCCCCTATAACAACCACTGCCTTTCCCTCTTTCCTCACCCCTCTCCTTGGTTGAAGTGTTGTGCCTTAAAACAGGGCACCTTGATAGTAGTAAGCAAGTCCCTAGACAAAAAGCCTGGACCTTTAGTTTTAACCCCTGGGGAGGAAGACAACCTTCCTCTTACCATCCCTGTACCCAGCCTAATCAGGATCCAACTGTGTCCAAGGGTGCTTCTGCTCCCTCTGCAGCCCCAACCCCAAAGCTATAACCTTCCCCACTACTGCCCTCACCTCCCCCCTCTTGAAGCAGAGTAGATTACAAGCTGCACCAGCTCAGCTTGGTGCCTCCTCCTGCTATTTTTTCCCCTTAGAAAAGCACCTCCAAGTGAACCCACAAACCAGTAAGGGATCATCAGAGAGCCACAGTCTTGAGAGCAGGGCACCCTGGGAAGAAGGGTGGAGCCTAGCATGGCGGGAGATTGGAATGAAAGGAGGAGGAATTGGAACCATTCTGGGAAGCAGGAACAGGGAGCAGGCCGGCCAGCCTTCCCTGGACTTAGTGGGGTACCAGGGCACCTCATGAGGACCCTGTGGACCCCACACGGAACTCTGTGGGGTGAGTGGGTATGTGGGGATGCAAGATGAGGGAGACCATGGGCAAAAGTGATCTGGAATGGTGGGCAGCTGAGCTGCAGTGTAGACCTGGGCTTCAGGTGTTGGTTTCTTTGTAAGTCACTCTCCCCGCTCAAAAGTATACGGTATACAAAATTCAGATAAAGATGTATTATGTGGTTTGTTTACCTGTGTCAGGAGCATGAGACTCTGAAGAGAGGGAGGGCGGATCACACAGAGAGCTGGAAGGAGAAAATTTAGTGGGACAAAATTGGCGTAGTTAGCAGGATAATGCTGGAAATGACAAACCTTGGGAAATTGGGAAATGCAAGGGAGCTAATGGTGACACTAACGTGGATCTTCCAAAGGATTATAACATATGTAATTAAAAAGATGCAGACCATGCAGAAGTGTGGGCCACAGCTGTGTTGTAAATGTGGGGAAACAGCCCAGTTGTGGCTATGTGAAGATTTTTTAAAGGTTATGGAAAGGCTAGAAAAACTTTTACAGGCCTTGAACACAAACAGAGAATGTAGAAAGGGGCATGGCCACTTTGCATAATAAAAGATTTGCCCAAGGCAGAGGAAGCTGAAAAGACTAGGGAGGTACTGGCAGATCCAGTTGCAGAGTTTGAGAGAGAGAAAAAAAAAACAGGACATTTTAATTTGTGTAAGGTCCAAGGACTCTGGAAAAAGACAGATAATAATGAAAAAGTAAATGACTTAAAAATAAAAGTAGCTAAAGCTTCTATCAGATTCAACCTTTGGCACAAAAAAAGCTAACAGTACTGTAGCTAGGAAACACTCCACAATGGAACCATTAAAACTAGGAAAAACTTACAAGCAAGCAATCAAAGAGCCCGTCACCACATGGTGCATGAGGGTATGGGACATGGGAACAAATAACATCAGTCTAAGTCCTTCAGAAGCTTCACAGCTGAGTTATATAACCACCCATCCATCCTTGTGATATAGACTGTTCAACCTAGGCCAATGCAGGGATGAGTAGTTCTTAATGGGATGGCATTAAAGATACATGGTCATAACCAAGGGAAACTCTAGTAATTAACAGAGGCTGGAGGACTATAAAGGAGGGACAGGCATTACTGAGAGAACTAGATAGGAGAAAAGCAACATATGATACTCAGTTCACTGGTCCAGATAAGATTGCGTTCACCAGAGATATAAAGGAAAGCTTAATTCAACTGGGACCTTGAGAATGGTATAGAGCTTTAATGGTTTTGCTAAGCCCTTTAATGGGACAGGATCTTTGTAAAGTGAGAGAGGCTTTAGCAGCTCTAAATGACTCTGACCAGCTTGTAAAACATGTCTGTAGAATAACAGAACACCCTATCAGAGATATAAAAAAGACCAGACAGAAAAAATGGTCCATTTGGGTTACTCAAAGACAAAGGTGGCAAGACTTATGTCAAGCCCAAATTCCCAGAGAGAAAAATTGATAGAAAACCAAACCAAATTCAGTACTAAGGAGTTTCTGGAGAGCTTTAAAACCTGAAGAACAGTTTACAAAAGGCATTCCAAGGATAAAAACTGGGTGGTTAAGAATCCCCAAAGATGAAATAAGGTGCATTTCTCTTCTGATATAGGGGTGGAAGCAACTTTTCACACCAAGTTCTCCCCCAGCAGACAGATGTGGTCAATGGAGAAATGGCAGATATGGCTACAATCAGGAGGCAGACCCAGGGCCTGTCTGACTCAGGGAACCAAAATGTGAAGCGGGGACAGTAGAAACACCTTGCTGCCTTAGCTCCGTGCAGGGTCAGGCAACTGGAGCCAATGCCTATAAGTGTATCAAGGATAAAAGAATACAAAGAGACTCCATGTAAAATCCCCAAAATGCCAAATGACTCCAAAGGGATAACTAAAGATAATAAAAAACTAACCAAATTAATGCCTCATACCCATGCTATGGTACCTAACAAGGATCTATGGAGAAAACAGTTAATATGAATGGATAAAACCTTTCCATGCTGTGTTAGACCTTATCTACTTTTCTCCAAAACTTTATGCTCTTCCCTCAACCTTTAAATATTTACACAGATTCTGAATATGCTGCTCAGGCACTTTTAAAATTAGAAACAGCCTTTTTACAGCATAAACCAGGGGAACCTATTGGAATGTTATTCTTAACTCTGAGGACTAAGATTGACCAAGGAGAACATCCTTTCTTTGTAACTGATGTACACTCCCATACTGGACGGCCTGGCTCATTAGCTTCCTTAAACCAACAAACAGAAAATCTAACAAAAAAATGTTACAACTCCTTTAAGCAGTCATCACTCCTTCACCAACCTGCATAAATGTTGAAAGATTTATATCTTCCTCTCACTAAAGATCAAGCTAAATTTATAATTAGACAGTGTCCTCAATGTGCCCCCTTCTTCCTTTAGGCCCCATGTCTGGAGTCAATCCCTGTGGTGCATGCCCTAATATAATTTGGCAAACTTATATAACTTATATAACTGAATTTGGAAAACTTAAATATGTTCACTGTACAGGAGATACTTATTCCTTGGTTTAAATGCCACAGCAAATACAAGAGAGACAACTAAGGTGGTAATTAAACACCTTATTCAGACATTTTCGATTTTGGGGGTACCTCATCAAATAAAAACAGATAATGGGCCTTATACTAATAAAATGTTCCAACAATTCTGCCAAACCTTGCATATTTCACATACACTGGCATATAACTACAATAAAAATGGGAGAATCACCTATACCTGGGATAATACTACGAAATCCTCATTTATTATTACACAGATCTTTAATAAATTTAATTTTTTTGCACTAAATGATCAAGGAATATCTCCAATGGCCAAACACTGGCAGAGACTGACTGCCCCACAACTCTTTACACAGATGCTTTGGAGGGACCATGAATCAGGTCTCTGGAGTAAAACTCCAGTTCCTTTATTAAAAATGGGGTGAGGATATGCCTGTGTCTTTCCAGAAAATGAATTTTCCCCGCAATGGGTACCACTCAGATATTTCAGAGCCTCCCACAGCAAAGATGGC